CCTTATTCACATTTTCCTAAAGTAACTAAGACTGGGAATTTATAAAAACATTAAGTTACTTTACTTTCATCATACTTTTAATGAGTATTTAAAGTCATTGTCCTACCTATTCGGCTAACGACTCTCCACCAGTCAAGGAAGCGATGGGTAAGAGTGGACACCCATTAAGCTACCATTTTATAGGCAACAACCTTCTACCCCCCTTATAGACGTACTTCGTGAATGAGGCCTACTAACGGTAAAACGACTTCATCTTATATATATATATATATATATATATATATATATATATATATATATATATATATATATATATATATATATATATAAACTTATAATATTATAAAGTATATGGGTTGAATTTTAACTTTTAAAACTCTAGGCGTTGGAAATAAAGTTTTTAAAGTGACTTTACATGTTCCAAAACTTGAAGGCAAGTTTTGTAGATTTCAAAACTTTTCATCTTTCATAACTTATGAGTTAATGGACTAATAAAATGAGAGACTTTTCATTTTATGTAACCTATGTGTTTAATAATGGATTTTAGAAGTGTGACTTTTGGTAATCCATAACTTGAGGACAAATTATGGATTCCATTAAAACACATCAAGATCAAAAATTAAACTACCAAGAAAGTTACAAATGATTCCTATGATCATCTAAACTCATAAGTTCATGAATGTTCATATCAAAAATTTCAAGAATCATAAATAAACCATACAAAACTTGAAATTTTGATATTAGCCATTGAAAATGGATTAGCATAACCATTACACCATCTAAAACAAGTTTTACAACACCAAAACAGTTTAGGGTAATGTTTCTAGTACATTTCCAGCATCAAAATTCGAAAAACTGCACTATGACAAGCCAACTCGTCGAGTGCAAGAACTGACTCGCCGAGTTGGTTGAACATAGGCATGGACTCATCGAGTCTCCCCATGGACTAGGCGAATTCACCCAGGCAGAAAACAGTTATGCCAATTTTCTTAACATGTTTTTATCAAGTATCAAATAAACAAGCCTAGGCTCTGATACCTCTGAAGGGTTTTCAGCATTCTAACACTCCTAAGGTGTACATGTAACCTTATAAACCTTGGATCTATATTTTACTAAGATACATGCAAAAATGATTTTCCACGGTTCTTAACTTAACTAGCATGGCATTGGGAACTTTAAAACATAAATGCTAGTAGAAGAACATACCTTTTAGCTGTTTGGATTCCTTGAGAATCTTCTGAGCCTAGCACCTCAAGTGTGATGCCTCAAATGTCTCACACAACACCACAACACTTAGAATAACCTTGAGAGAAGTACACTTAGACCTCAAAATCGGCTAGCCCTCTATTACTTGCTCTTAGTGGCCGATATTGGTCATCCATGGGATCTTTATATAGTTGTGTCACAAGTAGGATTACACCATGTAAACCCTAATTGTCATGGCTTTCCATATTCCATGATCCATGGGTTTGTAACCTCAATGGACTAACCATGGAGCACCTTATGGGTTTTAACCCAATCCACACAAATCATGGATCATTAACCCACTATACAAGAATAGATGATTTACACAATCAACCCCATATATTTAATTAATCTCTTTTTGATCACTTAATTAATAATAAATTAATTGTTGATCAATACTAATCAAATAATATTATTAATATATTAGAACTTATAATATATTAATAAATCTTAAGTGTCCTTTCTCTCATTTAGTCTATCCAAGCGTTGGAATGACATGCAACCCAAATGGATCATGCTAACTGGGTCAAGTATATTCTAGAAATAGTTATGAACTTAGACACCTAATCCAACATTAAGTACCAAATGTAGTTTACAACCTAGACGTTAAATGGCAAGGGGAGTTCACAGCTAGAGACAAAGGAGAAAAGGGTTCGCGGACAAGGTATGGCCGTGAACACCTTGTAAGGCCCACATTAGAAATGTAATCTCCTAAGCCCAAGCCCAATATGAACCATAAATACCCCCTATATACGTGTTTAAACCATGAATCGATTCATATCCTCATTTCTCAACCGTGAACTGCTTTCAAAATCCTCTCAATCTTCATCCGTGAACAACCAATTTCCTTTCAATCTTTAAAGGTTTACGCCTAGAATCTTCAAATCTTTAACCAATTCACCAAGAACATTCATAACCACAATCAAATATTAAAGCAATCTTTATACCTTCATAATAATTCAAGATCCAACCGTGAACACCAAAAACCTCCAACCGTAAACCCCATTTTCAACATTTTCCAATTAATTTCCAATTTAATTGTAAGCCTCCTTATATAATTAAACTATTATTTAAACCCTTTATTTAAATTAATATATTATTAATTTAAATGCAACGTCGAGCATAATTAATCTAGGGTAACGTTATTAGCACGTACGCTACCCGGTGGATCGTCTCTACAACTCACTAATTCTGGCAAATGCACATTCAATGTGAGTTCATACCCCCATATTTTTCCAAGCTTTTTTTTATGTTTTTTAGGGGGGGGGGGGGGGGGGAATACAAGTAAAACACAAGTAATCTTGTGTTTAAAAATATGATTTTGTTTATTATATTTTCTTACCATTAACATGCATATGAATGTGGAACTTACTAAACACGACAAACATTGTTACTATGAGACTTACAAACAATTAACAAAACACGTTAAGGCATAACTACTTTACGATCTCAGATCTTAACACGGAAACAAAATTATAAAATATAAGTATAGTTTATGGAATGAACGTACTACTTTTACAAGGATACAAATTAATAACAAAAGGGTTTTCATTGTATTATTCGTGAATTCGTTGATGTAGCAAATTTGTGAGAGATGGCATCGAGTACTTACCTAAGTACCTAGATAAGTCTACCATATGAACCAGATTCTCTCAGCGGGAGAGTGTGAGTTTGTGTATAGATCTATAAGGGAATGACAATCTCGCGCCCTGAGTATTAGCTACAGTCATTCTGGGTGACAAACGCCATTAACGTATACGATGTCCAAAGTATGTCGTTGGGTTTAACGCCCATAAATATGTCTATAAGAACTCACCCAGTTATAACATGGCCTCATTCACCAAATAATATACTTAACAAACGGTCTCCAAGGTTAATAACTATGTGATTACTTAGTATATACACAAGGGTGATATGAAATTAACATCCGACATGCAGTGGGATGTGTGACTTCCGCCTCATTTCCTATTTTTTGTTTGGTTGTGGCTTAGGGCAGAATCATCCAATTGATTGTCTGTTCGATCTACACTTCTATAAATCGTATGTACTAAGCAATAATAGGAGGGAATTAACATCACTTCCAGTTTACAGAACAAACACGTTTTCGGCTAGTTTTGTTTAGTAATAAAGCAACATTTTAACAAATTAAGTATAGGAAATAGCTTTACTTTTCAGTTTTGGAACATTTAAGACAACAACTCATTTTTATAGAAAATATAGGATTATCCAAGACAAACATCAGTATTTTACAAGCAGACGGTTTACCATTCAACTAACAAACAATCATTCTTAATTCTATAATACCTTAGTTTATACATCAAGGTTATGTATGAAGAATATCGATAGGTAGTGGAATGTGTGGTTTCCGCCTCATTTCATGTTCCTTGTTTTGTGGTGGGCTTAGGGCATATCTACATAATCAACTGTTCGTTCGATCTTGGTTCATATATTGCTAGTATAAACTTAGTCGTCATAGAAGGAACTGATATTATCATATTCTTACAAAGAAGATATAGGATTTTCTTAAGGAACAAATTCATCGTATTTCAAAGGATTAATACAGTTAACTCTATAAGTACCTAGTGAATACATTAGGGTTATATATATAAGGATCCGACAGACAGTGGGATGTGTGGCCTCCGCCTCATTTCATGTTCCTTGTTTGGTTATGGGCTAGGGGGCAGAACCACACAATCGATTTTCCGTTTGATCTGGAATGTATATGACCTGTATACACTAAGTACTCATAGAAGCAACTAGTACGAGTCATTTTACTTATCATTCATTACAACATAAAATATATGATTTTTTAGAGAAACACATCATGTTTTACAAAGAACAAAGAACCTTTTTTATAAAACAAAACGCTAATGAACTCACCAACTTTATTGTTGACACTATTTTAAAACGACTTGTATTCTTAGGACACTAATATACAGGTACACGCCCAGGTTCCTAGAAGACGAAGCATAGTAGATTCAAGTCTATACGTTGTTATTTACTTTTGGACTCAATCATATATGATTCGAATACAATGTAAACATTTTAATATCAATACAATGGTTTTTGTTTCTTTGATTACTATCATTCAATTGTTGTGATACTATACATGACGTCCTCCCCCCCCCCCCCCCCCCCCCCGAACGTTTCTGCCGTTCCGGTTTGGGGTGCGACAAAGGATACTAGAAATATTCTAATTTGAATACCTTTTGTTATTGTCAGTATGGAGTACGTATTTCTTTTTACCTCCCTTCATGTTCTCTCCTTGAAAGACAACACCCTAAGGTTGATTGAGGATTTTACCATCTTCAGAATCATCAATATTCATTTTTCCTTTCCTCAATAACTCAGGAACCTTTGGCTTTATCTTGAAAGAAGTAGTGAACTCAAAGTCTGGTACTGCTAGATGACCAAAATAACAATCTAAGATGATTTCGATATAACTATACCCAATGATGTACGAAACTTTATATTTAACTTAATCATTATTCAAGTCTCTCATACTCTTTGTAATAATGATGAGAACATTCAAGTCCATCAAGGGAATGTCAGCAATGGTGAAGTAAAAAAAAACATTGTCAACTCTGCAAACTTTATATCTATTATTTTAAATGACTCCTTTGAACATAACATTAGGTGTTATCATTACAAGTTTAATAATTTTCACCAATGACCATACATCTTTTTATTTCTTTCCAAGAACCACATGAAATCGAATCTTCATACTTTTAAATTCCTTAGTATCATGAAAATTCTCAACATGCTTGAATTGAGAAAATGTGAACATTGAATGATTGAATGGAAATCCCACTAATTAAAATCTGATTCTTCAATGTCGTAGCTTTTCTTTGTCCTTTTCTCAACGCATCAACTTCGCCATAAGCCATAGTCTCAATTGTTTCATAACGCCACACCTTATTTGGATCTCCCTTGTCAAGACCATCAGGTTCATTTGCTCTTATTCTCATAATGTTGTTAAGGGGATTCATTCTCTCAACTTCAAGCTCTTGAAGTCTCTTTTTCTCTTCATTAGTAGTCTTCAGTTGAACACCTTTTCCATTTGGTTCTGAGGTTGCGTAAAGATTAACAATCGAAGAACCTGAACCTCCTTCGTTTATGTTCAACCCCCTCATCGATTGAAGCTTTGAAATATTAATTTCGATATTTTGAGTTTCTTTTGTTGTGGAAGCTGTTAGAATAGGTTTAATTGGAATTTGAAACTGGAATTTGAGTGGAAATCACCTTCCAACTACTTTCCTTTGTCTTCACCTCTATTTTGATGAACCACCCTTATCTCCCACATGTGACATGAACATGGATAGGCATGGAGCATTTTTGGGCAATCGAAGAACAAGATCCAAGATTCAAGCAAGTTGAGTTTAAAATATGACTCCACTAAAGAAACCAAAAAAGTGATTTGTTCTTGATAAATCAAAGTTGTTGAGATATCATCAAACTTCGATAAGCGATCAAGAAAACCTATGAGAGACTTCTCATTTCTTGTAAATTCACATGCATCAGATTCTTTCTTTAACTTCAAATCATCATCATACTCTTTCTTCAAAGCACGCATGTATTTGATTAATGTTCTTGTAGCACCAAGAAGAGCATAAACATTCTGTTGAATTGCCAAATAGAACGTATCAAGCTTTGTAACTTATTTTGAGAATAAATCAACCAAATATTTAATCTTCAACTAAATAGACACTTTCAAAGAGTTCATCATCTTCTGAAAAATTTCATGTGTCTCCCACGCAAAATTTTGAATTTCTTTAAGATCATATGTATAAGAAGTTATGTGGTCAGAAAACCAAGTCTCTAGCTGTTAAACTGCACTAGAAATAAGATTCTTCGTCTTCATTTATTCTTTAAAAATATCTGATGAATGATAAAGAAGTGTAAGCTTCCCATACAATTCTTTCGCTATATTACAATATATTTTTCGTTGTTTTACAAGCAAAGTATTGTCCATTCTAAGGGAGTCTCTATCGATCATAATACTTGTAATTTTTAAATTTAAGCAGTGGCTTGTATCCTTTTTCTCTTCGTACTGATTCCTGGGCTCATAAAGCAAAGCTTTATTATTTTCCAACTCACTACTCATATAAATTAGCATGTCATTCAAATAATAATATGTATCACCAAAATTAGATTAAATAGCATTCTGTCACACCCCGAAAACCAAAGGCGGAAACATTTCCGGGGTGGACTCCACGTTGAGTATCAAATCCAATGCACATAGTAATCAAAGTAAACAACCATTACATTACATATATTTAAAAGTTTACATTGTTTCAAAAGTAACTTGTACAAGTTTTATACATATATGATATGAACAAAAGTAGAGACGAGTCTTTTGAGCACTCCGTCTTCACCAAAAGATATCGCCAGTTACCTGTCTAACTTGGACCTAAGAATACAAGCGGTTTGAAAATCAGCATAAAGCTGGTGAGTTCATAAGATGTTTGTTTTTCTGAAAATGTACCAACTTCCTTTAGTTTTCCGAAAAGGTTTGTTATCCAAGAAAATCCCATATTTTCTTATGTAAGTTAGTTTAGTTATCGTTTGTTACCAATTCAATTTCGTGTTATATTTTACCCCAGGAAAATCCCACATTTTCCTAATTGTAAGACCGGTTGTATATCACAAAGTATAGTTTAATACACAAAACTATATATTGAAAATCATGGGATCACTATCCCGAACGAGATATAGATGGTTTGATATATATGAAAATACTGATTAAAGACCATGGGACTACCATCCCGGACTAGATACAAGATAATTTGATATATATCAAAATATAGATGGGGAACCATGGGATTACTATCCCGGACAAGATATAGATTTAAACCATGGGATTATCATCTCGTATTTGATATAGATAGAAATCATGGGATTACTATCCCGAAATAGATATAGTTTGAAAACCATGGGATCACTATCCCGGACAAGATATAAGTGTAAACCATGGGATTACTATCCCGTAATAGATATAAATCCAAAACCATGGGATTACTATCCCGTATAAGATATAGATACCATATAAAAAGTAGATACGCAATCGAAACAAAGTCAAAACCAAACCCAAAACGATACTGTGAATAAAATTATATTAATACATATTGTGAGTCAGGTAACCATGCTAATACGACAACGGGACCTCCTTGACGCTTGTCAGACGTCGAATGATATCCAGAAATTTGTCACCCCAGGCATGCCCGCCTAACTGTAGCTAGCAGTTAAGGTGTGGGATTGTCAGTCCCGAATAGATCTATTCACAAATTCCTCGCTCTCCCTACAGGAGACTCTGGTTACACTTCCGGGGAGGATTTACTGATCATCCATAAAGAGTAGTGACTAACTCACAGACTAGTACTAAACTATTCATAGGGTTCTCATACGATATGAAACATACAAAAGATTATGAAACGTAATACAACGAATATAGATACATACAATGAAACTATCTGGCAATACATTCAAATGATACGGAGATAAACTGAATCAGACATAGTTTATCTAATAACTTTATATACATATTAGTACATGATAAAACGGACACTAAGGAACCCCAAATTATTCCCATAATAATTTGATTAGTTTGGTTATTTTCTTAACTAAAATCCATTTAGTTGTAATTGATAAATCATCCCTTATGCTCAACATAATACATAAGGGGTAAAAGTGTTTATAAATTTGACAGATATTATTTGAAACATATCAATGTTAAGTTTTGAAAACAGTTATAGTTTGTATTCCCTCCTGAACTCACCGGACGAGAAATGTGACGATTTCGGATGCTAAACGTTAGTTCGGGGCTTTCATACGCACGAGGTTCCTAAGTATAATGTAAAGATACACATTTGTATCTAATTAGGACTTCGATTGATTATTTGATAGGGACAATTGCTTCTAGTCGCGAAAACACCCCGATACAAGTGTTCGGAGGGACCCGGGTGGCGTTTAAGGATGTGCAATAGCACTAGGGACTTGGGACTTGAGTTTACTCCCCATGAATAAACTCATACAAGAGTTTTCGGCCATAATGACCCCCTCCCCATGAGTTTACGGCCGTAAACTCATGGTGGGGTGAATTATGGCACAAAATGGCTTGAAACACTTAGGGGATACTTCTAGGCTTGGTTTAACGGCTTGGAATAATTTTTATACACCAAATAGACACATTTAAGGGAGTTTGTGGCCTAGCATATGGATCATGGCCGTAAACTCTCAAATCTCCATGAATAATTGTGTTTTCGGATTCCAAAGAAATCACATGTGATTGTAAAAATTATTCCAAGACTTTACATGAAATTATATGGAACTTATGGGGTGTTTTTGGAGTTTACGGCCCATGAGACCCCCCTCATGGCCATAAACTCTTCTATAGGGTAATTCATGATGCTTTAAAGCCAAGAACTTGTTTGTAAGGACTTCTAAAATTCACTTAAAGGCTTTAGGGGTGTTTAGGTGGCATTCTAACACCATGTTTCAAGGAGTTTACGGCCTAAGCACAAGCCTTGGCCGTAAAATCTTATAAATCCCTCAAAAATTATGTTTAAGGTGTCCAAATGCTAAAACCAATATCCTAAAATTCATATCTATGTCTTATAAGTGATTTGGAAGGGTTTAAGGTCATAAAAACCCCTTATATATGAGTTTACGGCCCAAGCATGTGCCTTGGCCGTAAACTCCTTCAAATCCATCAAAATCCAAGATTAAAATGTTGTAAGTCCATTTCATGAAGTTATCTAGCCATATCTAAGGTCCAATTGTGTTTAGGAAGGGTTTTAGGGCTTAAAAACCCTCTAAGTATGTGTTTACGGCCCAAGATCCTTCTAGGGCCATAAACTCATCTACAAGGTCTTAATCCATGATTTAATCTCGAATTTGGAAGCCAAATATGGTATACATTAAGGTTAGGAAGGTACCTTAGGGATTTGAGGCTCTAAAATTGAGTTTTGGACCCTCAAACTTTGGATTTAGGAGAGAGGCTAGAGAGAGAGCAGAGAGAGAAAGAAAAAGCTTCAAATGAATGTTTAAACATGTTTATATAGTTCCCAAAACTTGGACATGGTGGAATTCTACCCGATACCGGCTCTAAACAGGGCTTTAGGTCGCACCCGATTAAGTTTCCGTCACCCGGCGGGGACGTTTCTAAACTTTTTGAAATAAACATTTTTGGGCTAGATTCATGAGTTCCTAAGAGGTTTGGACACTCATTAGTATCAATTAAACACATAAGTTTAATTACTTTAACCCAGAAACGACTTCGGAACGATTTGGTATTCGGCGAGTTATACACGTAGAATGGGTTTTCGGCGAGGAACAACTTCGGGTTGTTACACATTCTATGAATTTAAATGGACATTAAGAAATATAAGGAGATCTCGTACCTTCAATCATAGGAGACTTCGATGCGGTTGAAACAAAACATCTTCCTTTAATCAACACTTCTTATTCCTCTTCACTCTCTGCTTCACTTTCCTCTACAGACTCTATCAACAATCTATTCTCCTCTGAAGGATCACCATAGTGATTAGCAAAACATAAACCTGTGTGTTGGATGATGTATTTCCTCATTGTTTGAACCAGATAACCAAATTTGTTAGATGTCATCTTCCTCATTTGAATTCCTTGAAACCAAAGAATAATTATTTGATTTTGCTCAAATGTATTCAATTTTCATTGAATAGTAAGCTTTGTCTTTGACCTTCTCTTTGTCGTCCTCTTGCTTCTTCAACATACAATGCCTAGCAAGTTGATTTTTTCCATTGAAGTATTTACAGTCGTAACCAGAATCTCCAGTTATATTCTTCTCAACTTTATTTTCTTCTTTCATCTCTTCCACCTTCTCAATACTCTTTTTGTGAAACACCAAAACCTTAAGATGACTTCTTATAAAAGCTGGTTTTTAAGTTTTCACCAATTGTGTTCTTGTAAAATTTGTTGACACTGTTATTGAAAAATAGGCCACAACTTCGTCAACAAAATTCATCAAGAAACCTTCTTCGCTATCTTCTGCTTCACTATTTGAAGACCTCTTTACTTGTAGCTTTCGAGACCAATGCCAAGGGACCTCCAAAATTCATTTTTCGTCTCTTCTATAGTCTCTTTCACTTCATACTCA